ATTTTTGTTTTCCTTCTTCACCATATCCCTCTTTCAGGCAAGACTGTGATGGGATGAGAAAGCAAACGTCTATTTTGACAAGGTCCATATCAAATTCAAGAGGACTTACGCCCTGAATTAAAATCTAGCGGTGAGCATTTCTGGAACAGAGGGACTGTCCACTGGAGTGTCGTTATGATAGCACAGTCACACTCCATAATTGTGATGACCAGGGGTTAGAGCAGCAGTTCTCAACCTGTGGGTCATGGCCCCTTTGGGGATTGAACGACCCTTTCACAGGGGTCACCCAATTCATAACAGTAGCAAAATGACAGTTATGAAGTAGCAATGAAAATAATTTTATGGTTGGGGGTCATCACAACATGAGGAACTGTGTTAAAGGGTTGCGCCGTTAGGAAGGTTGAGAACCACTGGGTTAGAGGATAGATGTGTACCAGTATAAATGGATAGGGTTTGCTACACCAAAGGCAATCTTGTATCAATGTAGGGTATTGCAGCCAACTAACGCTGAGCTCTTGTTTGCTTACAATTTATGCTATTAAAAATACTGTGATGAATTTCACTGAAATATAATCTCCTAAGTAAACATAATGAAGAAAGCTGTTGGTACCCGGCTATTAAAAGATAGAGCATCTGGGGTCTTAATGGCTTGAAGTTAAACAAGTGGTCATTTAGTAGTGAAGCAACAATGTCCACATGGAAGAAGCACACCAGTCTATGTGATCATGAGGTGTCGATGTGAATAGGTATCAGAAATTCAAAAGCAAGCAATCAAATTGACATGAAGGAGTGTAGACAAAGTGGAGACCCAAAGCCCACGTGTAAGATAATTGAACAATCCTTCACAGAAGGGCCACATGGAAGGGATGATATATCCAGGGTTCAGTATAGCACTGTTGAAACACATAACTATCCTCTAGTTCTTTAATATTTCCTCTGCTGACTATTATGGTCTTAGTTTTACCTCATTAATCTTGTTAGACCTGCATATGTTTATTTTTATAATTAAGACCATTCGATACATGAAATCAAAGATAGATAAACCCTGCAGAAATTGTAATGGGAGTAGTGATTCCCTGAGGGTACAGGAGGAGGGGGGGAGGGGGAACTGATAGCAACAATAACTTGTATAACCTCACATGAGGGGAACAAATAACAGAATTGTAGGTGAATGGATACATTGTATGGTGTAAGATACGGCAAAATAATATAATAATAATCAGGGTTCCTGGGTGCTAGGGTGGAGGAAGAAGAGGACAAATGGGGGCTGAGATCAAAGAGTTCAAGAATAAACACTGAAGACGAATGTGTGCATAAGTAAGTGTGGTGAAGAAGGCTGATGGTGCCCGGCTAT